TATGTATATATATATTAATATCCCCATCACATTATTATATAGGGCTTATATTATGTATTGACACACTCTTCATCTATATTTTCATACATATTTTGTAATGTAAATTTATTTCTTGTCAATAATTAATTTGCATGATTGTAATGGGCCGGAGGCCATTATACAATTAATAAAATTATTATTATTATATTTTTCAATGCTTTAACAGTATTGGTACTGGGACTGACACGATTTCGATTGCTCCACGCCCGCGGCCCGGGAATTAGTCACATGGAAATACGAATTGTAACAAATGTGACAGGCCAGGTTACAGATTGCATGTACATTCAAACAACTGGTCCAGAAATGTGTAGCACGGAAAATGTGCGCGTGACAAGAGAATTTTTCCCCGAACACTTTGGGGGAAACCCTTTGGGAAAGCCCCTCATTTAAGCATTTAAAACCCCGGTGTAGTGTAAAAGATTTCGTTTATGGGATTAAGATCGCCAGTGCGTTTGAAAAAAATATATAACTAGTCGACTTACAAATACAATAGTAAATAAAAACAATACCGAGCATCGTATAGCGACCAAAATGTGTGTTATTCCTATCTATGACGTTGTTCGAAAACAATAAATAGGAACAACCCGCGAAACAAACAAAAAATGGTTAGGCCAGTCCCCTCCCCTTGATGAGCGGATTTTTGAAGCGAAGAAACTCTTTTCTTAGTTTTAATTTTTCTATAAATTGTATCATGATTGTATACAGTGAAGATCACAAAGCCGTACCCCAGCTTATAAAAAAAATGTAAATACAGATCAGCAGCTTATATTTATCAGCAGATCAAATATTTAATAGAGATTGGTTCAGGGGCTCAAGATTATCTACGCCCGTAATGCTCGCGCATACATTCACGTGACATTGCAACCGTGGCATATTCAGAACGAGGCTGTTGCTGATAGGCTATTGTTGGACAATAACGATATCGTCACAATTCTTGAAGTGGTCAATTTGAATTCTAGCATCCATTTTGATTTATATAAATGTATATTTATAAAATTTTTTATAACATATATAATTAAACCAAATGGAAAAATACAGCTCTGGAAAAACTTTATCGAAATTTACAATCGACGAACAAACAATAAGAGTCAGATAGTTCGAAATAATTATTCTCATTATTGGTACTGTGATAGAAAATACAAAATGTGAACGATTTTCTTGCATTATTTTATTTATCGAGAGGCAAAGCAAAGTCAATATTGGACATTTTGGAAACGTTAAACAACGCATAAATTTGCCCACAATTTGTGTGACGTTCTTCATCATTCACAAGATGTCTGCATATCTTTCCAGCGATTAATTTGTCCACAAACGAAGAGGAGAGAAGGTGACAAACTCGAAAACAAATTAAATTTTGTTCAATGGATACTGTTGGTTCGTCATCACGGGGATTCTCAGTCACGTGAGCCAAGTGAACCATCTCTTGTATTTTAATGATTTGAAAAAGGTGGCCGGTGGCGACATATTTATTTTTTCATTTTATTCCGGCCATCATACTTTGACATTATACGATATTACACTAATCTTGCAATCTGAGTACTAGTATCAGAAGTTTGACGAATCATGGGGTTAAGTCAACACACACCGGGACAATGAATGATAAATACACCGTGACCGATCAGACCGAAGAGAGCGAGGCCGAGGATAGTATAGTAATAACAGTTAATTAGCGGTAGGATTTATTATTAAAGTTGGTCCAGCGATCCGGCTACTACGGTAGTTATTTTTTTTTTTCTCACAAGAAAATATTTCATTGTGTATATTCGTTCATATAATTCCAAAATACACAATACGACTGCCTGAAATGTATGGTTACCAATCATGATAATCATGCTACAGTGTAACAAGTGTCAGGCTACATGGATATCAGGATCAGCCCCTGGGCTCATGAAACTGATGCTCAGTGCGCATGTTGCGTTTCGGCATTCAATCAAGGCTTGTTATTGAAATGTTTGATCCCGCCCACCGCTCAATTAAATACACGATTTTCCCGCCTTTACTTACGAATGAATGTGCCAATCAAAGAGGCTAGCATGATCACGTGACCACGATTAAACAGGGCGATCGGCGGACCCTGCTAAACTACTAACTATATGCCTAATTTGCGTCAGAGTTCCTAGAAATACCGTGCATGTTGTGATTTGGTTGTTCAGCGTCGCCATTACTTTGAAGCAACGACAGACGGTTAGGCCACCTGGTGCGAAGGAAAGTGAGGTAGGTCTGTTACGCCCACGCGTAGCCTCTCTACGCACGCTGGTTTGTTGTCAAACATGAGTGAGACCGTACGACATTGGGTGGACGTCAAGGAAGCTAGCGCTTCGTCGAATGGCTTTGCGACTCACCCTCAAACACACAGTAAACTACACCACAACAACTCGCGGTCCACAGGTCAGTGGACAGTGGCTGTTCACGTATCTATTGCCGTCCTTGTGCTTTGGAACTGTGTCATCACGGCCCTGGTTGCTCGGAGTTTTTCAAATGTGGAAATACGTAAAATCGATTATAGGAGGCTGCAAAACGAGAATAGCGATCTGCGGACACGTTTGGACGCCGTGGAAATGACTCTATCGACGATTATTGAATACGTGAAGAAGGAAGAAACCGGAGAAGAAATCGGGTACGGAGATATTTGGAAGCAGGTAAGCACACCGACTTCTGGGTCAAGTTTGTGGCATAGGTTAATAGTTATATTGTATTTAATGAGCATAAAATGCCTAGGTGTAACGGAATTATTCTTACCTGGCAATGAAACCCCGAGTGTTTTCTAGGAATATGGATGAATTCTATTATTCTCAGGAACAGATGAGACATATTGTCATGGGAACGACGATTTCCAGGAATTGACATTGTGTTTCGGTATTAGTTTTTTGAAGTTAACCAAGATACTGATGTGAAAGTGGAAGAAATCAGACTGAAACGTAGTGATTCGTCCACAGCAGTCACGGCTGAGCCAATGCAAAGAGACAAGGGTCGAAAATCAAAAGGTACCCCTACTGTTTAGTTGATTATACGAACCACATTATTCGTTTAAGTTATATAACAATAAATAAATTACAGGATGAAATCAAGTAGTCTTAATTTTTAATACCCCACCCAAGAAAAATGTGTGATTTTGACACAATTGTTCATCGGCATCAACTCCGTGTATACCGCTTTGGAGATACACTATTCGTTAGATTGTTTGAGTCGTCGTTTGGATACAATGTACCACCCGGTTACCAAATGAATCGTTATAGTAATCAATTATTCGGATTGTACGTTTAGTTTTGAATATTCTGATATGAATATAACATTGTATCATCTTATTTCAGGGGGCAAAAGACGACGCAATAAAGGTGAGTAGTGCTACTGTAGTGTGTCATTGATTTTAATTAACTTTGTTTAGTTAGCGGGATATGGATTTCCTTGGTTGAAAGGCGGGCGTACACTCTAGTATTCGTGGGGGTGTCCCGTGAGACTTTATGAACATATTAGGTCAGAGCATTATTTTTATTCCTGATGTATGACCGTTTTATGGTGCACGCACAGTCATGTCTATTACACACGTTGAACGTGGATGATAGCCGAATACATATTTAATTCTACGATAACGATATTAAAATAAATCAGCGCTTGGAGCTTTATTTTGAAATAATAGGATAATTACAATGCTTTCGGGAAAAATAATTTTACAATGGGATATGAGGGGGTGGGGGATTATGAATACTTTTGCCCTGATTCCTGACAAAAATACATTTAACTATGATCACATGTTACAGTCCGTTGTCGAATAAAGAACCCCTGTTCCTTATATCTCTGTATATTGATATTCAATTTTCACACGTTTTCAGGCGAATGCAAGAAGCAATGCCCACAAGGTGTGTTCCTTCATGATTTGTCTTTGCATTGCTGCAAAAACATATACATGCTTTGATATGCAGTGGGCTGTAATAATAGACAATGGTGTTGTGTGTATCGTGTATCATTTAGTTCGAATGCCCGCTCTAGAGTATGTCACTATATAATCATATACTGTAAAACATGTCTTTTTCGCGAGCATGTCTTTTTAGCGAATTTAGCGAGTGAACTGATTCGCTAATTCAAGATGTCGCAAATGACTTTATTCATAAATTCAAAATGGCTACCAAAAAACGTCTTTTTTCTCCACACACACTTTGTAAACAGCACGAAGTAAACGTACTGACATGATAGATACACTTTATTGAACACAAAAAAATAAACTTATCCATTGTGGTCATTATTTCAATGACAATAAATAAATGAATAAATAACATAAATGAAGTGATACTGAAATATAGTTTTTCTTTGTTTTTATGGAGGTGATAACTGCGCATTTGTTTTGGCACGCGGCAGACAAGTATTGTGAAAACAGGAAATCAACAATGACAAGAGTAATTCGCTAAATTAACATTTCACTATTACGTCATTTTACCACAATTCGCTAAAATTGCATGTCGCTTTTTCAACATGTTTTACAGTATGCCGTAATATAAATTATAAGTAATCTTACAATTGCCGTATAGAGGTTATAACATAACTGACTTGAAGTTGGAATACAGTGGTGTTATCTCGTATGTAGTTATTTAATCCTGAAACGATATTTAAAAGAAAAGTACCAGTGATTACATATACCATGAATGTATTGTGTAAATCTACTGGTCACCTGACTTGTTCACTCATCCATAAATTCATATCTAAGGGATCCAATGTAGACAAATCTGTCATTAATATACAAATATGTGTGGCTAAAATGCCAATATTTCGAATGTAACCTCTATATGACTACATATTGTTTATAATTTGCCCATTTTCATGCAACATTATTGCCTAGCGAGTCTAACTCATGAGTATTGTGTGGAATATGGACTATTACACCATTCATCAATAAAATAACAGGAAAAAATGAATAAAAACATTTTTTTCTTGTGCAATAATTTTAATTGTTATTATTCTACACAATATCTCTTAGATTGTTCATGCATAATGCTTACTTAATATTCATATATTGCGACTATCGCGTGTATGCCTATGTCATAGAAACTTAACGTACTGATTACTAGTAGCTTGTTTAAATAATGGCTTGTATAAACAAACATTTAGTTAAACATCAACATATCAATGTGTGTGTTGGTTTCAGGTCCTGCAGGGCAGCCAGGTCAAGCTGGGTCTCCGGGTTTACCTGGCGTGAATGGCACTCCAGGGGTGAAGGGGGACAGAGGAGATTACGGAATTCCAGGTATACTTGATAATGTTATATTACACTCGAAAACCATAAGTCACGCCATATACCCGAGTTAGTCGGTCATGAGCTGTAATGAGGACTCATGGCACTACTGTCGATAATGGTTCGTGTGTTAACTTTGTTATAAACTATTATATATATTTGAAAATTTCATATCTATTACATATCTTCTGAAAATTAAATAAGCGTTGTTGTTTGATGTTATTTTCAGGTCCAGTAGGTCCAAAGGGTAGCCAAGGATTACCAGGTCCAAAGGTATATTTGTTTATTCATATAAAAGTGGTTTTGTCGTAGACTTATCTAGTTTGTCGTAATCCCATACTTCTCATTAGTTCAATATACGAACTGGCAAAACAGTTACAATTAAAGTAGGAAATTAAATGTCTTGCCAGTTTTGCTTATCCTATCACACCATGACCTAAATATAAAAGTACCATCTACTCATCTGTTCATTATCAAGAGTTGTGCCGGTGTAATTACCGTTTTATTACACATACATAGTTTCAACACCGCGTAAATTTATGTGTGCCAGTAATTTAATGCACTCTACGCTATATCTAACTTCATAACGTGTCACGCTGTCAGTGTTATGTCTGTATGTCCCTTGTGATTAATACCAGGGGTGTTTTGTGTTGTAGGTAGCATCAAGTCATCTCGTTTAAATACAATACTAAAGTTTGACAACTCTGTCAAGTATTAAAACCATGCTATTTTGTTATGTAAGCCGTATTAGTGACTGCGTACATTAAATAATAAATAACCTAATCCATAATACACATGATGAGGTTTCTCGATAATGTCGACATTCATATGCGAAACGACCTCATATTGCATGTTAGTTAACCCAACATTGTGATCAAAAATTGTGGACAATAAAAAATAATGGCCATTTATTTCAAAATCATGATTTGAAAATTACATAAAAATAAGCAAAACCACTACAATTTTGGCGCTCAATGGGTTAATGCTTATACTATATGCTTGTTCTTTGTAATTCCCATCTTGCTACCTTTGCCTTCCCATTACCAGTGTTTCGCACATTTCCATGGTGATGCAGACGTTGCTGTTCATTCGGGTGCAAGTAAGTGATATTTTACTGTTTCCATATTTGATGATAAGTTACTGATTACATTGTGTGTGTGTATCCGTCTTCTGTAGTTTGCTGTAACTGCAGCGCACATTGTGGGAGACTTTCAGAAAGCATACCGTTCTGGATCAGGTAAGAATAAATTGCACACAGATATATACCGAACTATTGTTTGTCAGTCGCTAAGACTCATTTCGATGTACTTATTGTACATTTTAGTGCCTTATACGCTGTATAAATATTCCATGTGTCTACGATGGCGCTGGTGAAAGGATTAAAGCAGGGGGAGTCACAACCTGCGCATGCGTCAGATGGCCATAGCGTGTCATTGTTTACAAGCAAGCGTCTACCCATGAGCCTTTGCGTTTTAGCGTGTGTTGTTATCGTCGATTGGGACTCAATTCCCGCGCGTGCACAGGTGACAACCCTCCCCATTAACTCGTACATACAACATTAATGTATTCAGTAGCGAAAACCACATTTCGCAAATACAGAAAATCGTTAAAATGTGATGATTTGTGAAATTCACGAAAATATAGACCCGATAGTTTGTCCCTGCCCCATGACAGCCGAGTTGAGATTATGCACTCCCATCAAAGGTCACGTCGCACAAGGATGTTTGTCTTGAACAGGCAGTGCATGGTGAACAGGTCACTGTTATTGTTATTCAAATATGCATAACTGTAGGGCTTGGACTAAACTGCGCTGAGCTCCATAAGGGAGTTTACAATATCGACTGCTGTACTAATCCTTTGAAACTATTTGCTGTGTGTATAATTTGTAATTTTCTGATCACTAACTTACCGTGAATAACAATCAAATTTAATACAATTTTGATTGTCCCTGTGTTAACGTGTTATTGTTGGTTCTCTCCTTACTGGCGGTTCAATTGTTATGACATGTGGGCTGGCATTACTGGAATGGCTTCAATGTCGACTGTCAAGCTACTGTACAAATAACATTATTTTAATACTGTAATGATTTATTTATTGTAGAACAGTCTTAGCTTCACACTGCTTTGTCAATTGTGGCAGAACTCCGAATTGTTAAAACGGGAGAGTCGTCACCTGCACATGCGCGGGAATTGAGTCCCGGGCGACGATAACAACACACGATAAAACGCAAAGGCTCGTGGGTAGACGATTGTTTGTAAAAATAAAAAAAAATACACGCTATGGCCATCTGACGCAGGCGCAGGTGACGACTATCCCGCTTTAACAGTGTTCAGCCAACACTAGTATTGTCTAAATATAGAACAAGTAAAACATAATTGTATGGCTAAAGTTTGCAAGAACCTGCCTCATACAATAATTATGATTTTATATATCAATTGTGTAAATTTAAAAACTAACATCAATGCTTAATATGATTTTTTGATTTAATTTTTTTTTCATAAAAATAAGTTTGTAACCATGTTCTTGGCACCCCCATGGTTTAGTTAGACATGCAAGGAATTCATTTATTTTCACTTATATTGCACAATTAAATTGTTATTCATATGTTTGTTTGTTTGCTTGATAACCGGACAGGCAATGGGCAACAATACGGCGAGGTTACCGTAGGGAAAGGTAAGCCTTTCCGCTTCTCTTACATTCGGCATGAACATAAAATATACAAACATGTTTAAACTTTGTTGTTTTGATATTGATGTTTTTTTGTGAATTACCTAATTGTCTAATTTCCTTGGGGGAGTATTGTCAAGCCATATATATACAATGTAATAATATGTCTGATAATTGTCTAGTGTAGACCAGATACGATATATGTACTATATCAAGAAAACTAAATTTTGTGTTATAGGCGGCGAAATTAAATATTGGACATATGCATCCTGGATGGACCACGATCACTATAGGCATATGAAAAATAAATTTATCCTCGGGAGCGATGGGGACATAACCGTCAAGGAGGCAGGGCTTTACTACATATATAGCCAGGTAAGTCTGCTGAGTGATCGTTATTCCACTTAAACTAACATTGCCAGATACATTGTCAGATATCAAACTGTATTAATGAAACTTAACAGCCACACTGCACAACAAGAACGGTACGATGTATTCTTTTAAATATGAGAAGAGTATCATAAAACTCATATATATTGTAATAAATTATCATAATCATTTGTTTTCATGAGTGCATTTCATAAATATATACCTGAACAAAATTAATATATAGACACACACAGAATAAATCTTGTGTCACAAAATATCTGCTTTAAATTTGCAATTTAATAGTAGTAATTCTGATATTGATAGTGTGCCTGCGTAGTTCATTACTCTGTCTCTAAGCATCTGGAGGGGGGGTCATGATTGTGACATGTATAATGTGTTGTTTGTAAGTTTTGTACTGATATCGAAAGTTGCAATTTCCTTGAACCATGAAAAAGAATTCTCGGAAATCAAATACGTGCTTTGAATTTATATAAACCGACATGTACAGGTTATAACGTAGTTGTTCGGTTGATATTAGTTTGGTTTATTAGTCCCCGTTCGGACGCAGTCCGAAAACGGGGACTTATGTTTTGCCCTGTGTGCGTCCGTGCGTCCGTGCGTCCGTGATCACCTGTATCTCGAACATGCATGGACCGATTAAGTTCAAACTTCACTCATACATCACACATTATATGGGACATATGCACATGCATTTTTTTCATGATCCGATTAACGATAGCGGAATGATGGCCATTTTAAGGCCGAAAATGCATCAAAATCACGTATTTTCACAATTCCAGAACCGGATCTCAGTCATGCATGGATGGATTTTGTTCAGATTTAGCACAATGTGTTGTACATATGCAGGTGCATTTCGGTCATGATCTGCTTTGAATGTATATGTCACTCAAATATGAACGGAACGGGGACGTGTCATTGACAATGACTTGTTCTATAACATTTTGTCCACAGGTGCTGTATTACGATACTTTCCCCTTCATGGGGCATTCCATATTTGTTCAAGGAGAAGCTTTTCTGAAGTGTTCTGAATCAACTGTTAGTGACGATAGAAAGTTTAATACATGTTTCATTGGCGGTATTGCTTACTTGGAAGCAGATTCTATAGTAGCTGTTAGGATGGCTTACAAGGAGCGTTTAATTCAACTTAGCCCCAAAACAACTTATGTAGGCTTCATAAAACTCGCATAGGAACTCGTTCTTCTAACAAGTTAATGAAGAAGATGCTTGTACGCCACTTCAGTGTATACTTGTACAGCCAGTTTTATCGCAACCAATTACCCCTGATTAAATAAATACCTTTCAGCTTTTATCTTGGTGAATTATCTAGACCAAGTAGATATGCAGGGTTGTTTTATTGATGGTTATTGCGAATGTTCACCCAGTTAACCAAAAGTCCTTTGCACTCTTTTGTGGAGTTGTTGCTACCATAATATATATTTTTATTGAGCTTGTTTCATTTGTGACACTATAAAACTAAATAATATACTTTTAGTGAAATATATATCTTGTCATATATGTTTATCATATGTAAACTTTGTGTGTTCATTTTTCACAGCATAATATTATGGAGCCTTGTTTTGTCATTAGTATTTATTATTCATGTGACATAGTTCACCAACATTATATGTGAATGTGTTTTCAATATAATGTGAATAATTCTATAAAGCAGATGAATGTAATATCTATCCGTACGATCCTTACGATTGGATACACTCTTTCTAGACATTACAGAACTATCCAGCACCTTTTTCTGCTCTTTAACAGACAGTATTTTATAGATCAGCAACCATTGTCGAGCACGCTATTGGCTGCAGTGGCCACAGGGAATAATATAAACTAGTGAGCACCTAGAGTGCTAGAGTTATTCTCAATACTTTCAAATTTTGTGTTTCAGTTTCTGTTTATAGGCATTCGTTTAGTTCAATCGATGCAGTACATAGGGTTTTCTGTTGAATATTTAGTAAAATATTTGATAATAGATTTGTGTATGTGTGTCATTAATGTCACATAAAATGTTTCCTTAACTGATAAATGCTAATTCTTAATTCTGAAAATAAAAGTTTGAAGATAGGTTAAACAGTCATCAACATTGCTACTTTTATGTGCATGTTACAGGTTCTATACTACGACAAAAGCAAGTTCATGAACCACTATGTGCAGGTGGATGGTGACAAGTTCGTCTCCTGCACGCAGACCACGGTCCAGGACAATGCAAAGTACAACACTTGCTACACAGCTGGTATAATTCGGTTAAATGCACTATCCAAGGTCGGGCTTCGGATGAACTACCCTAACCTTGTCATATTTTCACATACAGACACTACATATATAGGGTTTTTGAGGTTGGCCTGATCATGCAGTAGTGGCACCGTGTCCGTCTAACACCCTCCCATATCATGGTTGCACGCATTTTCTGTATAAATTCGAATGGGCAAATTATCGAAAGCAACCAAAGCGGCAAGGTTTTGGACGAATATAAGATTCTTAAATAAAACCAATTTATTTAGAGTTCTTTCTGGTGGATTGATTGCAGGTGGTCATTCTGGACGGTAACACTTTCCTCGGACACCATGTACTTGTAGATGGTTCGAAGTTCCTATCATGTAAAACCATGATGGATGTCCCAAAGGACATGACACCGATATCTACCTGTTTCATTGCTGGCGTCACACATATCCAAGCTAATCAAAAAGTTGTTATCAAAACGGCCCAAGAAGTCACGAAGATAGATATGGATACGGACTCTAGCTACTTTGGACTTATCCGATTGTTCTAACCGTTAGAATCACCACCTCCAACACTACTACTACTGCATATTCAAACCAAGGTAGACTTATTGAACCCATACGGGATTGTTCACTTCCAAACGTCTGTATTTCATATAACCACTTTTACATTTACTGCAATCAAGGTTGTGTTTACAACACTCAAGTAATGTTTTATTCAGCATTTGACATAATTTCAGCATGTACCATTTCTGTATATTCTCACGCTTACTTAGACTTGAGAGTGTATTTGGCTACTAATGTTTACTTATGTTCAACTACGTGTGAGAAATCTCGCACTGACACACTGTCTTGGTGACGTACACACCTCTTTTCACTCTGATGAGGTACTATTTGCATTGTAGTTTCTAAAAAAAATTTGTACTCGTATTACATTGATGTTAATCATTTGTGTATTATACCCCAGTTGTCTTCTTTTCGTGTATATTAAACCTTTCAAGGTAGTTTTGTATTTTTTACGATTATTTGTGATTAAATGTTAATATCGATAATCAGATCAGTTCGTTTTCTCAGGTTTATTATATGTTACGCTGTTGTAAATATATACATAGAAAAAATAAAGCTATATCGTGTAAAATGTATTC